AAACGCTTAAAAATTCTAGTCCTAATTGGCTTCCTACTTGATCTCCTGTGGTAGGCGAAAGTTCCGCTCCGGACGTTTAAGTCATCTCAGGAATTTCTCCTTCACACTTCTTCGCCTACTTTCCCAAGAAGTTGAAACCAGCAAGAAATTGCGATCGCTTCGGGTTGGAAATCTAAAATTTGAAATCGACTGCAACTCATCCTCATCAGTCCAAAAAGGAGCAGAATTCCGATTTTTTGGCAATTTCACGGTGACTGAAAGGGATGCGTGTTCTGCAGATCAATGGTCCGAAAGTCTAGACATGCAAAGTTATAATATCCCGAACTAGTCGTTTAAACTGCAAGGTTCAGGAAAGTCTGGAAATAAAAGAGTTACCAACAATTGCAAAGCGGGCATATTTATGACACACTCTTGTACTACTTTCATATCTAGTTCAACCGCCATGCGGAATCAACCAAACGTATTCGTGCTGCTTGTGATGCATTACGGTCTCCTATACTTGTTCATCTTCTGCATAAATGCCTTCAATACGGGAATTATATAAATCAGGTATAATTTTATTTTTATGTCATAATTCATACCATAGCTAAGAACAGCTATTTAGGGTACCGCGATGTCAAAAGCTGTTGGGTTCAAATTTTCATCATTGCCTGCAATATTAAGTGCAAGGGGGAAGGTTTGGCTTTTTGGCAGTTCTGCGGCACTCCTTCATGAATCAGCTGTTAAATGTCATGCTTTTAGCAGAAAAATGCCTCCAATCTTCGACTCGTGGACCTATTGGCTCAATTTGTTGAATTTGACACTATTGCCTTAGAAGGAGTGATATCCACTCTGCAGTCGGCAAAGTATGTTTTAGTTTGTTCTTCCTGAACAGTTAGCAATATAGAAAGGCCTGGTTTAGGTCAATTACCCTAAATGATATTGAAGCAGCTCTAAAAGAGCTGAATTCTTCGGTAAGACGACTGAAAGAGCAGTTGAATGGTAGAGCAGTCGACGATGCATCGTTATTAGAGGCTTATCAGCCATTTTTGGAGGTTTGTAACATTGAGCTTAGTAGAAT